TTTTTTTTTTTTCCTTGGCGTATCTAATCGATTCTCTGTTGCTTTTATATACCGATGTATATGTCTGTGTTATCGATAGAAAAAAAACAAACACCGTTTCTTTCGTTTTATTTTCTTCTGCTTCTTGTTTTTTTTTTTTGTTTCAGAGATGTCTGATAATCAGTATGAGACCATTGTTTCAACAAATTCAGTTGAAAAGAGAAAATTAAAAGCCGGTTTTGTTGAATTCAACAATGAAAGTAAGGCCTATCTGAATTGTCGATTTACTATTGCATCGTCGATAGTTGCATTGTTGTCGATATCACTCATTTTTTTGGCAATTATACTTGCCTATGTGTATGAAGTAAATCGATTGAATGCAAACACAACTACTTATTGGATATCGAATGCATACTATAATATCTCAAAATGTTTGGTAGGTTAATTTACAAATTGACACTTCATTCTTTTGGTATTTTAAAATTTATTGTTTATAACAGTTACATCTTACATTGGATATATATATATATATATATATATTTTTTACATTTTTTCAATATAGAATATGGTTATTTTTTTCAAAAAATAACGTTTCTGTTGAGACATCAAAGAATTGTCATAATTATTTAGGAAATTAATTTTATTTCCTGTTTGGTCACTGCCATAAATACATTTGTCTAAAATCTTTTTTATTTGGTATGACCTGCTTAAATAATGACAGATTATCATTTGAGTTCAGTTTGTACAATTGTTGATTCTAATGATATACAGCAAAAAAAGAGTAGCAATGTAATAATTATATAAGCTGAAATAATAAAAATTATTTATGCAAAATTTTGTTATCGTCAATTTTTTTTTTTAGTATCTCATCTGTAAAAAAAAAATTTTTATTTACAACACTCATCTGAAAATCATCTGAAACGGAAAACTGCTTAACTTTGCTAAGTTTATTTTTTATTTATTTTTTTTTTTTTTGAATTTATTTGCCTAAATCGGTTTTTATAATATACAGCAAAAAAGCCAGGAATATCTTTTTTAAGATTTAATTTTTTATTCAATAAAATTAACAACATTTTAACGTTATATAAGCGTATATAAATATCTGAACTACACATTTTGTAAACCAATTACTTTGAATTAAGATATTAATCTAAGATAAGAAAGCAGGTAAATTACGATCGTCTTCTACATATTTCTATCAACTTTTTAAACGACTTCAAAAGACATATATTATTTTTTGCTATAATCTTCGTACAAATCAGTTGAAAAATAAAAAAAAAAAGGTAATAATTTTTTATCCCTTCCTCCCCTC